GTTTGGTCGTGGATGCCGGTATGCATACCAAAGGAATGACCCGCGAGCAGGCGATTGACTTTATGGTTGCCCACGAACGCATTACCCGTGATGAAGCCACTGCTGAGATTGAACGGTATATGGCCATCCCGGCACAGGCGCTCAGTTACAAGATCGGGCAGCTGACCATCCGCTCTGAACGTACAAAATATGAGCAGTTGCTGGGTGATAAATTCAGGATTGCAACCTTTCATGACGAGGTATTGAAGCATGGTTGCGTACCATTGAATATCTTGGCCGAAAATCTGGCATTATGGGCGAAGAAACAACCCTAGACTGGCACTTTGATATAATCTCCGGCGATGATCTCGCGGCGCTGACCAATTTAAGGGAAGGGGAAACCAAACTGGGTGAAAAACTGCAGACATTACCCGCTACCGGTTGGGAAGAATTATTACAGCAAAGCCCGGCAAAATATGTGCTCATCGGTATCCCGGAAGATATTGGTGTGCGGGCCAATGGCGGCGTCGGTGGTGCACATACACTTTGGGCGCCATTCCTCAAGGCTTTCTGCAATATCCAGCATACCGATAGCCTGCAAAGTGAGCAGGTGATCCTGTTAGGCGCCTTCAATTTCAGCAAGCTGATGGCGGCTTCGGTTGATAAAGACATGGCCATATTAAGAGAGATGGTGCGCCTGCTGGATGAAGCCATTTACCCGGTTATAGAAACCATCTGCCGCGCGGGAAAGCTGCCCATCATTATCGGTGGTGGCCATAATAATTGTTACCCGCTGATAAAAGGTGCCAGCAAGGCAGCGGGCCTGCCGGTCAATAGCATTAACCTCGATGCGCATAGTGATTACCGTATATTGGAAGGGCGGCATAGTGGCAATGGATTCCGGTATGCGCGGGCAGAAGGATACTTGTCGCGGTACGCAATCATTGGGTTGCACCGCAATTATAATAGTCAGCAGGTATTGGATGTTATCGAAGACGATCCCGGAATCAATGCCTCATTTTATGAAGATATTTTCTTTGGCGGGCAGCCCGGTTTTGAAGCTGCAATTGCAGCTGCCGTTCGTTTTACGGGCATTGTACCCACAGGCATAGAGCTGGATGTTGATTGTATAGCGGGCGTATTGTCCAGCGCGGCAACACCCGCAGGCATAACAGCCTTGCAGGCCAGGCAGTACCTCGATTACTGTGGCAGGCAGGCAGCAG